ATTAGAATTTGAAGTAAGATTCAGGAACCTTTTAGTTTAAAAATAAAAAATTTTCCTTCAAATTGGTACAGAGCTTCTCAATCCTTGTAGAAGATCAAAGAGTTTCCGCTGCTTGTGGACGGCTATGACATATATATGTTGCCCGTCTTGGCAATGATCATGTTGACAAAAGTTGGACAAATAATATATGAATGAAAAAAAAGCATGTTAGGAGGAAAACTTACAAAAATATTGCAGACTTAAAGAAGTGCAACAAAGCACAAGAGGAAAAAACTCTTGTCTAAATTAAAAGTTAGAGAAAGTCAAAAAAATAAAAACAAAAAAAAATAAACCAAAAATAATATAAGTTGATGGGAAGGGAATCAATGAGAGTTGGAGAGTGAGTGCTCCAACACCAAAAATTAATTTTATGAAAAAACATAAATAAAAGGTGTGGATGAGAAAAGAAAATGTGTTAATGAGAAGGGCAACAACGAGAGTTAGAAAGAGAGTTCTCCAACACCAAAAACAAAAAAGGGTGTTCGTAGGAAGGGCATTAACGTCGAAATTTGGAGAGAACTTCTCCAACAGAATCAAAAAAATATCGTGAATTTGAGAGAAAGTGCTCCAATATTTGGAAGCTGGAGAGAAGTGCTCTAACACAACCAAGAAAAATATATCGTGAGTTGAAGAGAAAGTCCTTCAACACTTGGAAAAAACTCTTCTCTAAATTAAAAGTTGGAGAAAGTAAAAAATAAAAACAAAAAAATCCAAAAAAAATATTTTTTGAATAACCTTTCTAATAATAGAATATTATAAGAAGAAAAATAGGTTTTGAGAAGATATCAACAGAAATTAAATGACTTGACATTATCACATATCTGAATATTGTAAATAAATATTAATAAAAATATCTTGTTATCTAATCATTTTATCTTTTATATAATTTATCATGATATATGTTTGATGGTAAGAATTTCTTGTTAAAACTGAATGATGTTGTTATGTAACAATTAAAAATATTTTTTTCTATTTTTTTATACGTGAAAATGTAGAATCCCATAAATTTATGGTTGGAATAACTACTTTTGATAGAAAAAGTATGTAAAATAATTCGATAACCAATATTATTTATGATTAAACCGTTAAAAATATACACCACACAAAAAAAATGTTAGACAATCTACTTGTCAGAGGTCAAACGTTCAACACTTTTTGTTGTTGCTACTTTGTTAATCTAACAAAATTTAAAGAAGGATAAAATTAAATTTTAAACAACAACCAAATAATAATGTTGACCATTTAAAAATTCGTTCTTCATTAAAGTGCTGCTTTGAAGGACCTTCTAGATGCTTCGTTAATGCAACTTTATATTTTTTTTTCTTCAGAAATAAGTATTATAACTTTGTAATTATGAAAGTACAAGTAGATCAAAATATAGAATTCTAGTCTCATGTTAAAGAAATATTCTCGAACATTAAAAAATTAAATTCATTCTAACCTAGATTACTCAAATGCTCATCCATTACTTGGGACATAAAGGACAACAAATCTATGTTAATAGACATATCTTTCGTAGCTGAAGATATAACTTGTATTTAGAGAAGGTTTTGTTTTATATTATTCAAATTAATCTTGTCTAAAGTAGTCATAACTCACACTAAAAATATTTAGAATAGTTGAATGAGAAGGAAAAAAAACATTGAAATGATAAAAACGTTGTTTCAACGAGATCATATACATACAAAACGAAAAATATTCAATAAAATTTAAGGAGATAACAAAACATCGAGCAAAACATGCATTAAAGGGAATAAACTATGAGACATCCAATGACGATAACAAATCATTTTGACCAAAAAAGTTCTCATGTATTGAAATAACATACCTCAAAAAATTGACTAACACTTCAATCAACTTTCAATTCTTAAAGTACTCATAATATCCACTGATAAAATTTAGTGAAAACAGATAACAACATAAAAACAAAAAAGATATATGGGCATGTGAAGTTATTAACTATCAGAGAATTTTCTAAACAACACAAAATGTCATCCTTGTGTATGAAGAAATGATGTTGTTGATGAAGAAATTAGAGATTTGTAAGGTCTTTTTTTTCTGTACCTTTAACAATTCCTGTAGAGCAAAATTGCTTGAATACTCAGTTAACGTTTATTATTTAATCAGTGCTAACAATAATCATAACAATAATTATGCATAAATATAAAAAATAAAATTTAAACAATCTACTCAAAAATAACAATTAATAAAACATGCATAAATTATTACCTATTAAAAAAACATATCAGAATCTGTAATAATAGAATGAAATATAATGAAAAAAATCAAGTCCACTGAATGCACAATGTCCCCTGGAGGAAATTATTCCCCTTTAATACCCGAGGTTTAAGGAATATAACCTCTCATGATAGAACGATTATATTCACCAATATATTGATATAAAAACAATGGAGTGAGAGAGTCATTTAATCAGAGCAAAGTACACAATTATTTAAGTGTACAGAAGAAAAAAGAATTTCAAATTTTTTATTGGTTTAAAATGAGAGGAAATTCCTCTATTTATAGACAACAAATGGTAGTGTGAAAGAATGTTTATTGTGTCTTATTGGAAAGGTCAAAACTCTTTTGAAAAGGTACAACCCTTCAAGAAGGTCACAACCTTTCATTAAATTTATAACTTTTCATGAAAGGGAAATGCCAGTTTTGGAAATAGCATAAAAAAAATTCTAGTTTGCGGTGGCACCATGTAGGTGGATCAAGGGTTATCTTATATATATATATATATATATATATATATATATATATATGATAACTTCAACTCATGGAATTTATTTAGGGATTTAAGGGTCTTTTCCGCTTTTAATTAAATCAAAGTTGTGTCGTTTTGCCTAAGTCTAAAACACATATATGAGAATTTTAACCCCCAAAACCTCTCATTCAAGTCAGTCACTCAAATCCAAAGAAAATCCTCTCAAATATTCTCTTTCTAAAAGTTAGAAGAAGACGGAAGAATAGGAAGCTAGGTCAAGGATCAAGTGTCCAAATTTCAAGCTTGTGAGGGATTTGTGATCAAGGTATGATAGTTTTTAATCCATGGAGTCCCCTAGAATTCCCCCAATTTGATGAAGAATTCATTAATTCTAGCTAGGGTTTCCTCAACTGTTGTGGGTTTCTGATGATTAAGGATCCAATTGAGTTAATTGTTATTGTTTATTATTTAATTAGTATAATTACATATTTGTAGATTGAAACTACATGTATCTATGCATATTCTATGATTCTAACCTAGAATTGATATAATTGGGTCGATGACATGAAGTGAAGATTTGTGTGTTTTGATGTATCCTTATAGGATTGATTGATTATGATTACAATTGCTTGAGAATGAAGCTTAGATCATGATCATGAAACCTAGGGCTTTGAGAATAAAGCTTAGGGTATGATTGTTGGTAATTTATGTTACTGTTGAGGAAGGGACACTTCACTTGAATTGCTAATTATGAATGAATGAATGTGAAAGGCTTTCTCACATGAATTATTCTAAGCTTAAAGGATTGCTCATCGAAAATGAATTTAGACTAAACGACTATGTAAATGATGAGTATAGATGAGATAACCATTGAACTTCATATGAATTATACGAGGTGATTCACCTATTCTTTATAATTGAACAACAGGTGAGTCCCCACATTCATACTATGATGAATTGACATGGAAGCAAATGTCCATGATCCCTATGAAATAGTGTGGAGGTGGGTATTCCTATTATATGATGAACGATGCGGAGGCAAGTACCTACGTCATGTGATGAAGTTATAGAGGTGAGTACCCACACTCTAAAATTAAGGAAGCCAAGAGACAAATACATATAAGCCTTTATAAGCTAGTCAAAGAGACGAATCCCCATGTCATTAAAAAGTAAGTATGGATAATGAAACTATAATATAAGGAATGAATGATGTGGATTGTTTCTTGATAAACTTTAACATTTAGGCATGGAATTTACCCCCTTCCACTCTAGGAGTAGGCTCATTTGGGAATTGGAACTTAACCACTCTAGTTCTAAAATTAATGCAAGCATTGTATGAGTGAAACCAATCCATCCCAAGTATGACATATCAAGTTCTACCAAGTCAAGAAGAGTAACTCTATCAAGCAAGGAAATGGGACACCTTCTATACACCCTCTTAGCCAACACATAATCAACAGCAGGGATAGTAATAGATAAAAACACTATCAACATATCGGGGGAGCATATCAAACCTTATAGCCACATAAGGAGTCACAAAGGAAAAAGTAGCACCGAGGTCTAGCAAAGAATACACATCAATTTAAAAAACTGTCAATATACCGATCACTATATAGAGGGAAATCTCTTGATCACCTCTAATATGGAGATCATAAAATTGGTTTTGTTTAGGAGCATTTTCACTCGACTCACTTGGACAAGATGAGGGGTTGGGTTAAGCCCTACGCCGATTATATCTTTAGTTATTAGAAACCAAACAAGAATTCCTTATATTATGATCCGTCTTACCACACCAAAAGTAAGCATTAGAGATCGCAGAAACTTGCTCTAATGGTTTCTCCCTCACTTAGCATAGGTAGGCATCGTGGACTTACTTCCATCTCCTTGGGGTTTTGGGTTAGATACCCTTTCATTGTTAGGCCTCGGAGGAGCATTTGAAGAACCTTTCCCAGAGAATCTTTGCCTAAACCTTTAATGACCTCGTCCATCGAACCTACAATATGAGAAGTTACAATCCTTTATCCTTGCCCTCTTTGCTTCCCTAGATCTCACCTTGAGCTTTTATTCCTCAATTTGTTGGGCATGCACAATTAGGAGAATTATGTCCATAACATGAACAATCATTGTATTGAGGCGTTCTTTGACAACCAAGTTTGACGCACACCCTAGATGTAACAAGGTGTATAGACGTCGAGAGACCTCCTACAATCCACTTAGTATCATAACATGAAGTAATAGAAATGAGGGGAAATTTAAACTTTTCAATCCAATCGAAGTCTTTATAAAATAAATGGAAAGTCTAATAACATTGTGTCTAAACATCTAAACATCATGAGTAAAATCTTGGGAGCAGCCCACACAATAGTCGAAAACACAAACGAAAATACATAAACTAAAGAAGTAATGACATCCTCGAACACAAGGAGGACTCACCAAATCTTCACTCCTTGAATGACAAAGAAGCTAGCCATGAGTGTGAGAATCTATGTCGTTGGACCCTATATTTGATAAGAATGTAGGCAAAGTATGAGTTAGTACAATCCAATAATACATATGGGATCTAGCATAAACAACATAAACATCATGGTTAGTCAATGAAAATCCATAAGCATAATCAATACATATAAATAAACATCGTAATGAGAAAGAAATACTTCTCAAGCAACCTTACTCATTGTTAGTCAATACTTTTGAGGTTTTTTTTATGTCTATTTGATATAGAAAATTAATATTTTTCCTTATTCCTTTTAAAATTATTTAGATTTATATTTCAGCAAAGTTTGATTGAATTTTACTTGTATTAAAATAGACAAAGTTTTATTGAATCTAACATATTATAATCTAGAAAATATTGAACAACTAAGATCTTGTATTCAAAAAAACCTAATTTTATTGATAGAACAAAATATGAAGCAAATTCTTTAAAGAAATTCATCAACTACTTGAGGCACAAATACTTGTACTTAAAAATCGAATAAAATATCAAAAACAAATGTTGGGATATTCAAATTCTACCAAGGCCTCTACCTTCTTTCATTTCCACCACTGCTTGCACCGGATCCATGACACTCTATATATCCCATGACATCACCAAACTCACCAGTACTAGCTCCACCAACTTCATGGAAAACCGATGTTGTAATATATAAATTTTACCACTATCAATCTGCGACATCTCCCTCCTTCATTGCTGCTACCATTTGCACCATTACTAGCTTTTTTTTATCGTAGCCAACTAGACCTCCCACAATTAGTTTAACATTGTGATGCCAACACCAATATAATTTGTTCCGAAAACATTCTCGCTTGTATTTTTCCTTTGGTGTGAATAATATTCTTACTTTCTCCTTTGTTCCAAGCTTTCCCTCTAGGATTGAAGAATCTATTTATCTTTTTTGGGGAGGAATCTTGTTATGACATTCCAACATTATCCTTTCATTTTAAAATATTTTTTGTTATGAGAATGTAAAAAATATGTATAAAAAATTTACGACCAAAAAAATACAGTGCAACTAAAACATTAATCACCAAATATCTTATAGCTAACAACTATATTTCGATAATTTGTTGTTAATCCGTTACAAAATAAGATTATAATGATAAAAAAAATTCTATGATGAGATTGATAAATTTATAGTTCATATATTTTCTACATTTTTTTCTTTTGTATAAAACAGCTAGCGTAATATTAACTTACCTTGTTTTTTTGTTTGACATACCTATTCATACGGTTTTTCATTGCTTCTACAAGAAACTTTTTTACCTCTCTTTTGCGATGGTTGTTGCTTTTCTGTTTCTTTTTTGCAAATTTCCTTTTCAATATAGAAAGTTTAGCTTTTATTTTCATGGAGTGCTTTTTAATAGCCCTAACCTTTGGATAAATAAAAACAATTAATAAGAATAATGTAGATGTCTTTGCATCTTAACATGAAAATAAAAGTTAATGTCATATAGTTAGGAGGTCGTCATGAAAATCACTCTTGCAGAAAAGCAATGTAAGAGCTTACCTCTTTTACTTCAATGGATTTTTGATCAACTTCAAGTTGCGATTATTTTCTTACCTCCACAGTAGAACGATATTTTTTGCTCTTATGATAATAATACTACATTCCAGCAAAGATTTTTGTTTAGAACTAACTATGCATTATTTTACGAAGTACAAATTGCATACATTACAAAGTAATTTTATTTCTAGATATCATTTTTTTTTGTATATGTAGCGACTCAAAAATGAACGTGATGGCACTCGTATTATCCCACCAAGACAAGTCAGCCTAAACCTACATCATTACAATAAAATGCAGAAATTCCATAATTTACTCAAAAAAACCCTCCAAAATCTGGTTGTCACGTGTAGAAGCCTCTAAAGTATTATCATTGATTCAAAGGAAAAAAATTATCAAATGACATTGTTTCTCGAATAGAAAAAGATCACATAAAGGAGTAAGAAGGTCTTCTGAGACAACAAGCAACTACCTCACAATTCTCCACAAGAAGCCTCGGACAAGAAGAAGACAAATATCACAAAGGTCCAGGCTAGTAACCTACAAAAAATATTGTAGTAGCAAGGGGTGAGTACAAAACCACACGGTACCCAAGCAAGTAAACTTCTAAACACAAGCTAAGGGGATAAAATACGGGTACTCCTTATGCACCAAACAAATCTCAACAACTTCAACTTGCATAAAAATCAGTCCAACCTAACAGTTCACAGTTTTCATAGCACCCACCTCATCAAAATCATTTTAAAATATTACATATCCTCAACTACAAAGTTAATATTCAACAATCACAACATTCACAAAAAGGCACTCACAATATCAGCAACACACAAGATCAAGTCCATCAAATAAAGATAATCAAATATCAAGTACTTGCCAACCACCAATAAAATAAATAATCATCAAGAATGAAGGATGTAATGGGATGCAATGCAATGTGACATTATGAAGTGATATGCCTCATAATGCCAATTACTTTCTCAACCGTATATACATGATACTCCTTGGAAATACATCGAGAGTTCATGACACATGGGGGACTCACGAGGTCTACATATCGACACAGACGATCTCCATATGTCTGTGCGGACGATCTCAACGCACTTTCATAAATCAAACAAATTTCACATAGAGGATGTCCACGTGCCCAAATCATAATGATAACTTTTCTATCGCACGAACGATCTCCACGTGCCCAATAATCATAACTCGATCTCAACACGGACAATCTCCACATGTTAGACCTTTACTCATACCCAGTCTCATTTGAATGCATGTTCACAATATGATTTCAAATATAGGGGATGATGCAACATCTCAATAAATCAAATGTCGCTATGCTATGACATATAATCACCTCAATAATCACAATTAGACGGGTTAGTAAAGAACAAAAACACACTTAATAAGTGAAGTAAATAATATATCAGATGCCCATATGCTTTGTCATTCTTGAATTACAATTCACATTCTTTAGTAATAAACTTTTCCATTATAACACTGGTACTCGTAGCATTCTCAATCCATCACAAATAAACAATTAATTCACATTGCCTTTTTATTATCCCTTTTCATCATTAGAATTAATCACGGTGGAAAATTCAACCTTTACCAAGTCTCATTACTCCCAAACACATACCACAAGGAAATACACAAATATCATACACTTAACAAGGGCTTAGAAATCCACTTGCCTCAAATAGTCGAACAATCACTTCGGGACTCGAATCTTTCGCTTTTCGACGTACTTCCAACTCAAAGAAATTTATTCACATTAATAATTATAATAAGATTCCGAAACTAACAACACTTAATTTACTATAGATCAGGTCTAGACCCAAAAACTTATCTAGATACATAATCTATTTGTATATCTTGTTAACATGTAATCTCTCTTCTTTTTTTTTTTCAGTTTACACGCCTAGATTTATGTCTCAATTCTTCAAAATATCATAAATTTAATTCTGTATCTTTATATATCAAAACTTGAATAATTTTGTGATAACCATAAGAAATATTCAATGATAAAAATGATGTCTAAATAATTAAAATAAAACTCAACGTCAATTACTACTTCAGTGTGTTAAATCTAAGAAACTAATGTGCAAATTATGAATTCAATGTAAAAGTACATCGAATTATCCAATCATTAGTATTTATAGGACCATCGAGTTATCACCTAATTATTATATCCATATGATGAAGGTATTTGTAAGTTTTTGTTGTTTAGCGTCGGTCAAATAGAATTAGGCCATGTGTAAAAGCAAGTGTCGGCCACTTATATTGGCCAGATATGTAAGTTTGGTTGTATAAATAGAGGGTTTTCCCTCATAATAGAATCATCCCCTGATCCCTTTTTCTCTACAACTCTCTCTCTCTATTAATTCCGCTTCCACCCCCAAATTGGTATCAGAGCTAGCTAATTTTAAGAGAAGATATGGAAAACAAATAAGAAATAACGAGTCTACAGAAGAAGGTATACATATTAAGCTTCATGAGTAACTAAATTAATTTATTTCCAATAATCTCTTTTTAATTATAATTGTTTATCATGTTCTAATAATGTTTTAATAGTCATCTTTAGAAAGTTTGCTACAGAAATATTCTGCGAATAAGTATGCCTAGACTATACTATCCTAAGGTTGAAACCGATAGGAAAGAAGGTCGTTGGGGGAGTAAACAGAGTTGAGGCGCTGTTAGGGTAACTAATCAAAGAAGAAAACTGTAGTTTGACCAGACGAGATGATTATTAAATCATTATTATTACATAATAAATAAGTATAATTCATTAAGAGGTTGGAAGGAATAAAATTTTAGTGAAAGTGGGTAACAATTAAAATGAATACTTATCTACTGGATGATGATGTTAATTACAAGATACTAATACACCATATATTAAGAGGTCTAAATACAGATATAAAAAGAAGAATTTATGATATATTAGTAACATATGAGGTAATAGAAGTAACAACTCAAGGTTGGGCAGAATTAGATATACAAGATAATTTTTATGATGAATTTTACTATGACATAAATGATTTATATGATGATATAGATATATTCAGAGACCAATGATAAATTACAAATACTTACAATATTGGGTAAAAACTATAGAAAACATAGATCTACTTGAAAAACTACTAATTGAAAATTTATTCGATTATTTAAGAACTCGAGATAATGAACATCTAGAATATATTATAAACAATGCTAATGAAATACAACGATTAGATCTACTTAAAAAAGAATATTATAGAAAAACATTTTATGGAGAATAATACAACACCAAGCAAAGAAACTAAAACAACAAAAACCAAGATAGATAAAAAAGTATGAAAAATATGGAAAAAATTAAAACCCTTATATATAGAATATGAACTATCACAACTTATCAAAACAATTAACGATAAGAAAGATCATTTGATAAATATAATTTCATAAACAGAAAACAAATATGTTTATTATTTGAAAAAACAGTATGAACAGAGAAAAATATAAGCAACAATTGATAGAAAAAATAGCTGAAAAGAGACAAGAATTACAACATAGAAAAAGAAGACTAGAAGAAATTATTTTAGCAGGAGTATGTAATAAATCAATATTAGCACAAAGAAAAGTTATATTTATGTTAGAACTAGAAATAGATTGCCTTGAATATATATTACAACATAATATAATACATAAATTATAATGAATAAAGAAGAATTCGCAGTAGACGAAAAGACATATGAAAATCAAGACGGAATGATAATAAAAATAATATTTTCAAATTTAGGCAGAAGATATAAGAAAATAGGAAATAACCTATATTTAGTGTTAGAAAAAGAAACAGCAAAATTAGAAGATAGTTTAACAGCTATGATAAGAATAACAAAAGAAAATGAAGAAATAGACAAATCAAAAGAAATTGAAAAAATAAAAATACAAGAAAAACAAGGAGTACAACATTTAGAAGAAATAAAAAATACAAGAATAAGTGAATTAGAAAAAAAATTAGCTAGGTTAAAATTATTATTTGAAACTAAACAAAAAGAGAAACAGATAGAAAAGGAAAAAGAACTAGAATTAACTAATGAAATAAAAGAGATGGAACAAAAACTAAATGAAGACCTTGAAATAAATGAAATAGACGAAAATGAATCAAATACAATAAATGACCCAAAATCAGAAATAAGTGATATAAGTGAGACATACACAAAAATTCTAGAACAGGTAAATAAACTGAAAAAATTAGAAATAAACACAGGAGATATGAATCGACCTAGTACGTCAAGAGTTAAAACCCCAGACAATAGTCCCAGAAATAGTCCTAGAATTAGTCCCAGATGGACACCACCAACTTATTATACAGAAAATTATCAGCAATCAGATAGAACTAACGCAATATGGAATAGTAGATTAAATAAAAATTGGATACCAAAACCAGTAAACGAACAATATAATTTCTTAGATCTAGACTGTGTTACAAACATAAATAAAGAAATATTACTATGGATAGGAAATATATCTAAGCAACTAATAGATAACAAAATAAAAACAACAGAAACACCAAGGTATATAGAAAGAACATTTGTAGGAACAACAAGATTATGGATAGAAAATTTACCCTCAGAAAGTTTAGAAGTACTTAGAAGTGACAAGAAAATAGATGGATCTCCATCAGCAACAAATATAGATATACTAGATAAATATGAATCAGCAATAAGAAGTGAATTTGGTAGTATGACCACGGATATAAGAGAACAAAACAGGGAAAAAATAATAAATAGGCAACTTATGAAAAATTTAGCTATATGTAAAATATGTTATATAGAATAATACACTTATGCATTTAAAGAATATTATTACAAAGCAAAATACAATTTTGATGAAGCAAAAGAAATAAGAAAACAATATTTTAAGAAATTAACAGATTCATTTAGTACAAAAGTAATAAAAGATTGGAATGATGAAGGATTAGTATATACTTTAGGAGCAAGAATAAAATTTTTACATCAATGGTTCATACAACTATGTGAAAACTAAAAAGAAAAATTTTAAATGGAAAAAGTACTAAACAAAAATTTAGCCTGTTGTAAAAATAATATAGCACAACAGTTTGGATGTACAAATAAAAAGCAAATACCTAAAAGGTATAAAAATTATAGAAAAACTAAAACCAAGTATAAATATAAGAAACCAAGACGAAGATATTATATAAAAAATTATAAAATAAAAAGACCATATAGACCA